GCTCCTTCAGGTGTGTCTCAGGTAGACCCACTCCCCTTGGCTGAGCCTTTCGAGGTCACTTCCGACACCTCTGGCCTAGCTGAAGGGGTGACGTTGCTGCTGACGATACGGCGGGCCCCTGCTGCTCACTACGCTTGGAGACCCCTCCGGGTTTTCCACCTCGACCGTCTTCGCCGCCTCTGCAGCCGGTTGCTGTCGACTCTGGTGCTGCTGGGGGTGGTGCTGCTAGGGGTGCTGAGCCTAGGGGTGCTGAGCCTGAGGGTGCGGAGCCTGGGGGTGCTGAGCCTGAGGGTGCGGAGCCTGGGGGTGCTGAGCCTGAGGGTGCTGAGTCTAGGGGGTGCTAAGCCTAAGGGTGCCGAGCCTTAGGGTATTGAGTCTGGGGGTGCTGAGCCTGGGGGTGCTGAGCCTAGGGGTGCTGCGTCTGCTGGAGATCCTACAAGTGCCTTGCCGCAGCGGTCTAGCCAACGGGAGCCTCTCTCACCACAGCAGCTGCGCGAGTGGTTTGCTCGGCGCACCCGCCTTCTAAGTGGCGCTGCTGGAGCAGAAGGCACTGCCGCTGGAGGCGCTGGCGCTGGAGGCACTGACACTGGAGGCACTGGAGCAGGAGGCGCTGACACTGGAGGCGCTGGCACTGGAGGCACTAAAGCTGGAGGCGCTGGAGCTGGAGGCCCTGGAGCTGGAGGCGCTGACACTACAGGCCCTGGAGCTGGAGGCGTTGGAGCTGGAGGCGCTGGAGCTGGAGGCGTTGGAGCTGGAGGCACTGGAGCTGGAGGCGCTGGAGCTGCTGGTGCTGTTGGTACTGGAGGTGTTGCTGGAGCTGGAGGCGCTGGAGGTGCTGGTGCTAGAGACCCTGGAGCTGGAGGTGCTAACGCTGGAGGCACTAGAGACGGCGGTGCTAATGCTGGAGGCACTATGCAGCGGCGACCGTTTTTAGGGTTTAGGGTCACTGCTGTCGTAGCTGTCACTGCTACCGCCTGCCTTGGTGCTCCGTCAGGTTCTTAGTCTTCCTTCGTCCACTGCCCTTCCTCCAGACTCACCGCTGCCTGCCCCCCCTCGTTACACTGAGCAGCCAGCCTCCCTTACAGAGCGTCGTGAGCCTGCGTCTCGTTATGCCTCCCATATTCGCACTGTTCGCCATGCTCGTTGTGTCCCTCGTCCGCGCCCTCCTCCTGTGCCAGATACTCACACTATGGCACTTCGTCCTTCCTCTATTCCACAGCGTGTCCCTCTGCCGTCTCCTCTTGCGTCCTCTCTTCCTGACGTTCCGGACCCTGAGTCTGACCGTGTTCGTGCTGCCAGTCCCACGGTCCCGCGTCTCCTGGCTACAGTCATCACTGACCTGTCGTTTGAGTCTACTGCTGCGTCTGCCTTAGTTGCTAAGCTTGTGGACTTTGCTGCTGCGTGTCGTCTAGACTACGCTGCTAGTCTTGTTGCTAAGTCTTAGTCTTTCTGTCCTCCGTCCGTCAGGGGTGAGTGTGCTCTTGGCACGGACGTCCTTGAGGACAGACAGGAGGACTTTGAGTGTCTTGCGGCTGCTCTAACCTCATCTCGTGGCCATGCTGCTTGCACCTGAGGGAGACCTGGATGCACTGGACATCCCGACCCCGCGCTCTTACGCAGAGGCAATTACGGGTCCCTACTCCTCTCAGTGGCAGACAGCCATGGACGCAGAGATGGCATCCTGGAAGTCCACAGGCACTTACGTCGACGCAGTTCCCCCTCCTAGGGCGAACATAGTCGATGGCATGTAGATTTTCAGGGTGAAGCAGCCGCCGGGTTCTCCGCCTGTCTTTAGTCAGTAACAGGGAGTTGACTTCTTCCAGACCTTCTCCCCTACCCCGAAGATGACCACTCTTCGGGTGTTGCTGCACGTTGTCGCTCAGCGTGACTACGAGCTTCACTCTCTTGACTTCAGCACAGCTTTCCTACAGGGCAGCCTGCAAGGGAGATCTCGCTGCGCCATCCTCGTGGCTTCGTTGGGTCGTTTCCTGAGGGTACCCTGTGGAGCCTCCGACAGCCACTCTACGGTCTTGGCCAAGCACCTCGTGAGTGGCACGACACACTGAGGATGACACTTGCGGCTCTTGGGTTTGCTCCTTCGACTGCTGACTCGTCGCTGTTTCTGCGCACTGACACTTCGCTGCCGCCATTCTACATCCTCGTGTACATCGACGACTTGGTTTTTGCCACTGCTAACACTGAGGCACTGGCCCTTGTGAAGTCGGAGCTGCAGAAGAGACACACTTGCACTGACCTGGGTAAACTGTGCAGCTATCTTGGCTTGCAGATCACCCGGGACAGAGCACGGCGCACCATCACCGTGACTCAGTCACACATGGTGCACCAGGTCCTTCAGCGCTTCGACTTCCAGTTCTCCTCGCCACAGTCCACTCCTCTGCCTACCGGTCACTCGCTCTCAGCTCCACCTTCAGACGAGAGCCGAGTGGCCCGTATCTAGAGCTTGTGGGCTGCCTCATGTACCAGATGACCTGCACTCGACCTGACCTTGCGTACCCTCTTAGCATCCTGGCACGCTACGTTGCGCCCGGGAGACACCGACCAGAGCACTGGGAGGCCGCTAAGAGGGTGTTGCGTTACTTGTGCAGTACATCAGGCAAGAGGCTCGTGCTTGGATGACAGGGTCTAGTTGTCCTTATTGGACACTCAGATGTCTCAGCTACGCAGCGGTTGTGACAGGGTTACACTTTCAGCCTTGGCTCTGGCTTTGTTCCTTGGCGTTCTTCCCGCTCGTCTTCTGTTCTCAGCTCCAGTTGTGAGGCTGAGATTGTCAGAATGTGATGGTTGTCTAGCCTGCAGTGGGGTACTCTATAGCGAGTACAGCCCTTCTAGGGTTTGCTATATGTATCCCTATGCACAGCCTTCTTCAGCACTCACTAGACTTCAGCACAGCCTTCTTACAGGGCAGCCTGCATGAGGAGATCTGGCTGCGCCGCCCACCTGGCTTCACTGGGTCGTTCCCGCCTGGTACCCAGTGGAGCCTCCGGCGGCCAGTCTACGGTCTCCGCCAGGCGCCTCGTGAGTGGCACGACACACTGAGGACGACACTTGCGGCTCTTGGGTTTGCACCTTCGACTGCTGACCCGTCGCTGTTTCTTCTCTGCGCAGCACTGTCGCTACCAGGCTAAACCCGGACTACTCAGGCGACAGGCGCAGCTGGCTCTCTGTGCTCCCAGGAGTGCTCACACTGGGGCTATCAGGCGCAGAGCCCTGGACTACTCAGGCCACAGACGCAGCTGGCTCTCTGGACTACAGGCGCTGCGGACGACAAGACGGCTGCCTCCACTCAACTTCCCCCAGCTGTCCCACACACATTTCACACACCTCGTGCTGAACCTCTAGCACCGCTCACACGCCACCCCCCTCGTACCTGAAGGCTCCAACACATCCACCCCCCTGAGCGGCAGCTGCAGCAGTGGGAGACGGAGGAGGAGGAGGAGGAGCAGGGGACGGCGCACACACCCGTCACCCCCATACTCGCCACCCCCACACCCGCCACCCCCAAACCCTAACACAGGCAGCAGCGGGGGGGGGCGGTGCGCGGGCAGCAGCCAGGGGGAGGGCGCGCGGCTCAGGGTGACGCGACGGGCAGGCAGGGGGGCGGGCGCGGGCCTAAGGGCGACGCGACTGGCAGGCAGGGGGCCGAGCGCGGGCTTAGGGCGACGCGACGGGCAGGCAGGGGGCCGGGCGCGGGCTTAGGGCGACGCGACGGGCAGGCAGGGGGCCGGGCGCGGGCTTAGGGCGACGCGACGGGCGCTTCGACGGGGGAAAAACCGCCGCGCGCCTCGGGGCGCACGGCGGGAAGAAAAATCCGTCGCGCGCCACGGGGCGCGCGACACACAGAGTAGCAGCGGAAGCTAACGGGTGGGACCACCCACAGGATCGACCCAGGAGGGTCGACCTCCCATCTTCTCGTCTAACAGCTTCAGCCATCGCCTCCCATCTTCTCGTCCCCGTAGTTTCTCCTCCTCCTCACTTGCCCTCTGTGATAGCCTCTAGCTTTGCTTGTATTTGTGAACCTACTGCTCTGCCTGCTTGTTGTGTTGATTGTACCCCACTTTGACTATGGGGGTGTGTCAGAATGTGATGGTTGTCTAGCCTGCAGTGGGGTACTCTATAGCGAGTACAGCCCTTCTAGGGTTTGCTATATGTATCCCTATGCTTGTTAGTGAAAACCCTTCTTGCCTGTTTCTTCTTCTTTGCCTAGTATTCCGACAGAGATCTATGCAGGAGCCATGGCTGCACAGGAGTTACGTTGGCTCACCTACCTGCTGACCGACTTGGGAGAGCGGCCTCGTTCTCCTCCACTTCTGTACGTAGATAACAAGGCCGCGATTACCTTGTGTCAGGAGCACAGACTGGAGCATAGAACGAAGCACATCGCTCTGCGTTACTTCCTTGCTCGAGAGTTGCAGCAGCGTGGTCAGCTTTGTCTTGCTTACGTGGCCACACGGGCCAACACTGCTGATATATTCACCAAGGCACTTCCGCCTGGTGATCATCAGTGTTTCTGTACTGCTCTAGGCCTTGTGCCTGCTTTGTCTCACTTGCTCACTGCGTGACTATGCGTGTACTTTGATCTATATTTACATATACCTGCATGTTTACACTTGCTAGGTTGTGATCACTATATCTCTGTTTGCTCTCCTTTATATAACTCTGCACATGAACTGGCCTTGTGGCCATTTGCTTGTGCTCGGACTGTGTGGTGACTTCGTGATCCACCCTGAGCTTGCTTTGTTTTTCTTGACTGGTCTTGTGACCCCTTGTTCTCCCCCACTTTGCCTATGGGGGTGTGTCAAAACATTATACTCTTTGTGTTGTGTAGGCTGTAGTGGGGTAGCCCATAAAGGGGTACAACCCAATTAAGGTTAGTACTAATACTCAGCTTGATCTCAATGCATTCATTCTCGTTCAGTATTCTGACACAAATTGCTACCTACGTAGTTTGTAGAAGGTCAGTCTAGTTAAATTATACTAATATGATGGTAGTGATTTTTTGTATAACTAGGTTGTTTCTGTGATTTATTATGTTGTGATTTACCACCGACTAATATGCACATAAGATGAAGAGATGAGTATAATGATTGGTGAATGTAGATGAACATAATGATATTGCATGAAATATGATATATTGTGTAAGATATGATAAATGATTTAAGTACGCCTTAAATTCGATATGAATATTAATTATTCTTGACAATCCATGATACATATTTATAATGATGTAAATGCGTTAAAGCTATCGGCCCAAAAGATATGCTACCCGCATCCCCTGCCTAGCATGTCTGGGAGCTAATAGCATAATCTTTGAACAATCAGCATTCACATCAAACAACACAATCAGTGAACTCTAAAAAGTGTCAACTCTTTCAAATCCAATTCAAGTGGGCTCTCTACAAGCGCGCCAATGAACCTTCTACTGAAATGATAGACCTGAACTTTTTTTTTTAACTCACAGACATGCATAGATGGATATAGATGCTCACACACACATACAAACATACAGACATAACCACACACACACGCACGCACACAAACCTCAACTCAAACGAAACAAACAGAAATCATGCAAGGAAATTTGTTAAACCAAAACAATTATCCTACAGATCATCAACCACTGTTATCTTCTCATATTCCAAATTTAACTTGACTTCTTGAACGATACACAAAGCCTCTGGAGAGAAAACAGAGAGAAAATGGGAAACAGAATGAGCAAAAGGGGGAGATAGATTACGAGACGAGAAAAAGGAATAACGAAGAAACGAATGAAACAATATGCTAAGAAAAACGCCGTGAGCATTGAAGGGTTAGAGCTGACAAATAACAAGGAGAATAATGTACCGAGGCATAAAACGAAAGTAAGGAACGGGAACAGAGGGAAAAAGCTCATAACGAGACAGTAAACGAAAGAAGAGAATATAACGAATACGGAGAGCGAGAACAACGAAGAGCGAGAGCGAGAGCCAGAGCAAGAGAGAGAGAGAGAGAGAGGACGAGAGAGAGAGGACGAGAAAGAGAGGACGGACGAGAGAGGACAAGAGAGAGGACGAACGAGAGAGAACGAACGAGAGAGAGAGAACGAACGAGAACGAGAGAACGAGAGAGATAGAACGAGAGAGAGAGAGAGAGAGAGAGAGAGAGAGAGAGAGAGAGAGAGAGAGAGAGAGAGAGAGAGAGAGAGAGAGAGAGAGAACGAGAGAGAGAGAGAGAGAGAGAGAGAGAGAGAACGAGAGAGAGAGAACGAGAGAACAAGAATGAGAGAGAACGAGAGAGAGAGAGAGAGAGAGAGAGAGAGAGAGAGAGAGAGAGAGAGAGAGAGAGAACGAGAGAGAGAGAACGAGAGAGAGAGAACGAGAGAGAGAGAACGAGAGAGGGAACGAGAGAGAGAGAACGAGAGAGAGAGAACGAGAGAGAGAGAGAGAGAGAGAGAGGAATAGCCTCTACCCTCTACCCTTAGCCTCTGCCCTCGTTTACATGGCTATATAAGAGGCCGTCCTAGCCTCCTTTCCTTATTATTCAGTTGGCGCCTTCGGCCGCGCGTAAGGGGACGGCATGTGACAGTACACAACGTTGATAATATTGAAAGGCATAACAGGCATGGCTATATTCTACGACAGCCTAGCCAAGCCAAGGAACCATGGGGCAAGAGGAGCCCCGTCTACCTGCGGTGAGCTCCAAGGGTGTGAAGAACGCCCGTTAGGGTCCGCCACAGCTCCCAGACCTCAAGCGTGCTTACGCCGATCGCGGCGGCTCCAGAGCCTGCGCGCAAGTGTCGCCTCAAGCCCCGGACGGCCTCGTCAAGCTGTCCCACAGCCGCAAAGCCGCCCTCTGGAGACGCAGCCAACACGGGCGCCAGAAGCTGCGCGAGCTGGTCAGCCGCGTCCAAACAAATCTCACGCGAACGATCTTGGAACGAGTCGAGGGGGAGCGCAGGAAGCGACGAGTGTGCCAGCACCTGGATCAGCAGCACGGCGTGTAGACTCTCCGCAAGACGGGAGAGCTGGCCGATCGTCGCCTCGGGAACACGTGTCTGCGGGGGCTGAAGGGCCTCCGCCAAGAATGACAGAGGCCCTTTGGGAGCAAGAGCCGCTGGGCCACCCGCAACGGAAGGAGTGTACTGCGCCATCGCCGCTCCTCCTCCCGCGCCACAAATTCAACTCCCGCCACCGGCGGAACGGGCGGCAGCCGAAGGCGTGACCCAGAGGAAGGAGCCGAGGCAGCAGGACCAGGCGCAACCGGAGCACGATTTGGAGGAGGAATCGCAGCGGCAGGCGGATGATCCGCGGGAGGCGGAGCCCGGCGCGGAGCCCCATAGGCTGAGCTGCTCTGGGCCTGTGCCGCCCTCTCCTCGCGCATCGCGTCAGACACAACCCGCACATCGTGTCATAGGCGGATCGTACGCCCCGCCACCTCCACGACCGCGGGGACCTCACCAGCCACCGCGTCCACCGCGATGAGCAGGCCATTGCGCCTGCTGATGATGGCGCCGAGGGGAATTGCGCCAGCGCCTTGATGACTCGCGCTCCTGCTGGGGAGCGGGTGAATGCGGGCGAGACAGGCGGCGGTCCGGCGACGGGGGGTATGACGGTTGGCCTGCCGGTGCAACTGGCAGAGCCGCAGGCGCGGGCTGAACCACCGCTGCAGGTGGCACAACGGCCGGGCCGCCAGTGGTGGCGGACGCCGCCTGCGGCGACCTTGCAGAGGCCGGAGCAGTCACGTCAAGGACAGCCGCGAGCAGGGCAACGGATACGCCGGGGCAGGGGGATCAGCAGTAGTCCCGGCAGGGACAGACGCCGGCACCACGACGGGAGGAGCCAAAGGCGCAACATCGATAGCTTGAGCAGATGGAGCAGGAATCTAGGCCGGTGGGCCAGACTCCGCCACATCGGAGTGACTCGCGGGTGCGAGGGGAAGAGTCTTTTCAGAGGCTGTTGTCGCGGGCTTCGGAGCCGGCGGTAAGGGGGGCTTCGTCACCGTGGTCGCCTTTTCGAGGTCCGAGTGGGACTTGGCGACCACAGCCGACCAGGCAGCAACGCGCTCTGGCGACGGCTCAGGAGCGCTGGCAATCACCATCTCGGGGACGCGGAGGCCGCGAGGCTAGGAGGCTGGCCGTTAGCGGGACAGGCGGAGGTCCAGAGAACGGGTACCAGGCTGAGGCACGGAGGGCTTTAAACGCTTTGGAAGCAACTAATGATGAGGAAGAATTAAGGGACCCCTTTAGAGAAGAGTCCCTCCCCTCGTGTGAGAACGAAGAGCCTGACGAGGGAGGAGGATGAGGGAGTCTTCTGGGAGAAGGGCTCAGAGGTAGAGCACCAGGGTATGCAAACATCACAAGAAGCTCACAGACCGTCCGATGCGGATCGAACGGGCGGAATTCCAACTTCGGACCTACCAGCGACGACGGGTCGCGCTCGTCGAAATCGGGCAGCGCTAAGCGAAGCCGTGGCGCGCCCCTCGGCATCAAACCCGCGTTATTTTTTGTCTGACGAGTTAGCAAGGCGGGTTGATTTGTTCGCTGCCATCGCGGACTGGGACATCGCAATCCTGAGCGATAGTCGTCAGCCTTCACTGTCGCGGCGTTTACCGCCAAACTTGTGCCAGCTGTTCTCGCTGGCACTACTGACACCGTTACTCCACCTGTCGCGAAACCCGGAATCAGAGTCGGGATGGTGCCTGCTGCTGTTCCTGCCACGCTTAACACTTCGCCAAACCTCGCCGCATCGACCTAACTGGCCAAAGGTCAAGGCCCGCCTCCGAGCCTTCCAACGTGGCGAATGGGAGCAGCTGTATAGGGATGCGGTGGATGCAGTCAACGCACCACCGCCACCACGACACCAGCCCGACGCGACGGGAGTCATCAGCCGCGCGGAAGGTCTGGCGAAACGTGGCAGTCTGCGCCGAGCCGTGCTGGCCCTCGAGTCAACGCCCGTCTGCATTCCCGGCCCGGAAATTTTGGAGGAGCTGCGCCATAAGCACCCTCTTGCTGCACACGGGGCAGTGACATGGCCCGTTCACCAGGGGTCAAAGCTGTCAATCGCCCACCCCGAATTCGCCAAAATGTTGGGAAGATGCGAGAATGGGGTGGGAGCCGGACCGTCGGGCATGATATTCGAGCACATGCGCGACGCGGCGATTACCAATGCACTGGTCAGCACCCATCTGCACGCCTTGGTCAACACCATCCTGGGAGGAAATTTGCCAGGCTCGGTCGCGAACCTTCTGACATCGTCACGCCTCATAGCCTTGGCCAAGCCGGGGGGAGGAGCCCGGCCAATCGCGATCGGCGAATGTTTGACGAGGCTCGCAGCCAAGGCTGCTCTGTCAGTCATGGGAGAAGCTGCCCGTGAATTTTTTCTACCACTACAGTACGGGGTGGCAGTGCCAGGTGGAGCAGAGGCAGTAATCCACGCAGCCAGGGCCTTTTTGGATGCCCGCCCGAACAGCTTGGTCCTGCAAGCTGACATCTCGAACGCGTTCAACAGCATCTCGCGAAACGCCATCGCCACGGCGTTACACGACCCCGCCCTCTTGCCACTACTGCCGCTAGTCAAGCTAACATACGGTAACCCGTCGCAACTACTATTGGACGCCAATTTCAACTCCGACCCACTGAACAGTGAATGCGGCGTCCGTCAAGGTGACCCACTTGGCCCGCTCCTGTTCGCAGCAGGATACACTCCACACTCCTCGAAACTGCTGAGGCACACCCAGAGGTGCTTTCTTTGGCGTACGCGGATGACGTCACTTTCTTGGATGACACAGCGTGCACTGTAGCACCATTCAAATACTTCACCGACAAGCTGGCACACCTGGGTCTGACGCACAATCCGCAGAAGTGTGCGGCCTGGAGCTCAAGTACAGTTGAGCAAGCACAACTCCCGCTTGGAGTGCCGTTCTCTGGAGACGGCGTGCGGCTCTTAGGAAGCTTCCTTGGACCTGATAGTGGCGGCGACTAGGTTCCTAGCAGGTCAGCTTGACAAAATGGCGAAGCCGTTATCCCTTATCGAGCGAGCTGACCCCCAAGTAGCAGCGCTCCTCATCACACGCTGCATCTCGAGGCGAGTAGCTTACCTCACTAGGACGACGCCACTTCGCCTTCTGCCCCGCGATAGATGGAGCCAGTGGGGAAGGGACCTCCTCACCGCCCTGCTGACATCGTGCGACATACGCGTCCCCACGTGTAGGGCCGAGCAAGCGCGCGTCTGGGACCAAGCGTCGCTGCCGCCATCACTAGGAGGCATAGGCATCATGGACCCCCTGATCGAAGGGATATACGGATTCACGGCGAGCTTTACACAGGCGGCGTTGTTCCTCTCCTCCCTCGCGCTAAATCCAGGAAACGCTTTGGCGCAGGCACGGAATCACATGCCACTGCCACAGGATGACGGCACAACCGCTACACGCGTGGCTTACAGAGTGCGAGGCGGCTCTGCCTCTACATACACGGAATTTTCAAGAAAAGGAGCGGCTCGAAAGGTCTGACGTGAGGCTTTAACATGTGCTCGGCCTCAAGGTCCACAGGAGCAGATACGCCGTTCAAGTCGAGGCGACAAGGGCGCATGCAGCTGATTCCGCTCTGGGGTCACACGCAGCGGATGTTTTCATTGACTGGCTACGCACAGGCGATTGGCTCACCACTATCCCCATCGCACCCACACGGCTGATAGGGCCAGTACACTTCGCCAACGCCGTGCGTTTCCGCCTAGCCCTGCCATTCTCAACGCCAAAGAACTGTGACTGCGCTGACCACACTGCTATCACTGACCCCCTCCTCCCGAATCACCTTCTCCGCTGCGGCACCGGCAAACACCGCATCAACACCCACAACGAACTGTGGGATGCCTGCATTAGCATGGAGCTGGACGCGGGTTTATCGTTCACAATGAGTCAGCCGCTTACCGCCCTGTCGAGGAGCAAACGGCCGACTTCACCATGTCGGATAGAAGCAGTGGGGCGGTCTATATCTGCGATGTTACCATCACGGATCCCATCAGCACCAGGGATCCGAAGGCACAAAAGGGCAGGGGGTGGGCTGCACGAGAGCAGGCGGATAAAAAGATCAAGCACTATGCCAGCCGACCAGAGACGGTTGGCTTTTTTCCACTGGCAGTAGACACCTACGGCTGCCCATGCGCGGAGGTACCCATCTTCCTCAAGCTCCTAGCAGACTCCGCGGCTCGACGACACTTCAACGCCGACTCAAAATCCTACTATGCCGCCAAGTTCCTGCATCAGTTCCTGCAGCGATGGTCAGTGGCCCTGCAGAGGGCTCAATCTGTGGGGCTGCCATCTGGGGGATTTTTTTGCAGTAGTGGAGCCTCTTCTAGAGCTCTAGAATGTACATTGGATAGTTTTTTGTTGTTTTGGTTGTTTGCCCTAGTTTGTTTTACCTTGCATGTGT